GATTTCTTTTGTTCTGCAGTTTCAGTGGGATTAAAACAGGCTTGTTAATCAAATTCTTATGCTAAACAAATATAATAATAATAAAAAGTGATATAATAAATAAAAGTTGATCTTTTTATATTTTGAAGCATTGTTCGTAGGTTTGCAAAGCGGGTCCCCTGTCAGAAGCTAAACTGTTTGGGGGGCCATGGCATGGAAAGGTTTGGGAACCCCTGATCGTTTTGGGGGTCTTTCAGGTCTAAAAAATCTAAAACATCTGATAGTTTTAGGCTGAGTGGGAAGAAAACTCAAGATAAATTAAATAATCAAACCTTTGACAGCTAGCAGAGCGCTGTATATGTTATGCTAGCGGCAACAAATGTTACCATTCTGACATTTACTCTTCTTACAATCAAAAGATGCATGCAGGCATAAAATTGTCATTATATATCAATAGAAAACTCTTCAAAGAATATATGTGCAAAATATTTCAGTTATATGTGTTTATTAAGGTATTTCACTCACTTCCTCTTGCACCAGTTCAAGGTAAATACTGTATTTCCCTCAGGACAGGCAGGAAGTCGGGGGGTCTGGTCATGTGACCATTCACAYTTTATGAAAYAGATCTAGCTAAGMGTAGACAGACTATTGTTTTGWTGTAAAACTTAAATTAGCTGCCCAAAGCCAAAATAGCACTTTCAGAATTTCAAGTGAAACAAAATGTCTGGCAACTTAAAWTCTGGGTTTTGCAGGTAGAAGAGGTAACATTGACCCTGGAACCAGAGCCGTGCTCTTTGACGCCGTCCCCGCTGAGGGAGGAGGGCCCCACGACCCGAGGTTCAAGCCCTGGAYTACCAGTACAGATTGCAGAATCCATCCCAGAAAGAATACCGTTCGATGTCACTCCGTGTGTCGTCCAGTCGTTGGAGGAGAAAGACGAGGAGGCGGAGGATGGCTCCATCGTCATTGTTGCGACCAACTGAGTCACACGGTCAACAAAGAGAAGGACTGACGAACGCGGGACGTAATTACTCCAATAATCAATCAAGCTACTATCTCATCCCTTCTCTCTCCCAGATATTTACCTTTTTTTATCCGAGTAAATGCTTTTTCAGCTGGAAATGTGGAATGTAATGTATCCAAACTGATGCCATCTAACCCCACCAAACYTTCCAGTTTAGCATCAGAGATGTGGACTTCGATGAGTTAAATGCAAAAGGAATGAGAGACACAAAACGTCATGGTSGTTTAACAATGTTTGGACCAACTGGACCTAAAAACCACAGAACCAGAAGCAAACGGCTTCGAACAAAAGAGACAGATTTCTCAAGAAGCAGCAAACAAAAAGAGATGAGAGATGGAAGAAAGGGCAAATCGAAAAATTCTGTGCAATACTACAAACATGGACACATCAGTTGGTTGGTAAATAACTCGGAGTGCTCGGTTCATGTTCTAATTTCAGCAAAGACTCGATCAGAGAAACAGTGGGTTTGTTGTTTGATATGTTTGAAGACTTAAATGAGGCCTGCACTTGGAGTTATTTGCAAACACATCATCTGACCACAACCAAAAAGAAAGTGCATGCTTTTTAACAGTGACCTAGCCCTAACCATATAACACAGTATACAAAGTAATAATATAAAAAAATGTTTTTATAATAAAAGAAAAAAATCCAATAAACTGATCTGTATATGTATGAATGTGAGACTGTATGTGTGTACGAATGTCGCTGCTTTGTTTGTGTGTAAAATATATTTATTCTGAGAAACAAATTCACTTTGGTGTTCTTCTGTTTCAGCGTGTTTTGCAAAATAAACTATGCAGAGACATGTTTTACTTTAAATTATGTTGGGAACATCACAAGCTGCTTATAAGTTCTGCATTGCAAAAAAATGTCCGTCTAACCAAGTCTTACAATCTTGGCCATACACAGTTTAAAAATAATAATAATTTTATTTTGAAATGATATACTAAGTACGGAGCCCACGAGGGGACATGGGAGATTTATTTTTTCTTTTGCATTCCCACGCAATAGT